CTGGGTGTCCCGCCTTGGTGGTGCCGACTTGCTACAGCAAGTCGGTCAATTCTTTCGAATTAAAATTTAAGGAAACCGACGATTAGGTGACCATTAACCATTAGCCATTAGCCATTAGCCATTAGCCATTAGCCGAGAGGTTGAGAGGTTGAGAGATAGCACATCCTCATCCTTATTATTATTATTATTATGATTTTGATTATGATCGTTCGAGAGATGGCATATCCCCAAACAGAATAGAAATAATCAATCAAATCGATAAAAACTGCACCTAGAAAAGGAGTTGAATTGATTAAAAATAGATGATAGATGATACCATTCTCTAATCATGGATTCTGCCATGTGCGTACGGACGCCTAGGACTATCTACGTCTACGTCTACGCCTATGCCTCGTCCCCCGCCACCTCGGCCTCGCTCTTCTCCGTGTCTTCGCTCCCCCGTACCTTGCCCTTCTTGAACCCGAGCCGTCCCCAGTTGAGGTTCATCCGACCCTCCTTCGGCGTCCCGCTCCCACCCTCCTTGTCTTTCGCCTTCGGCTCGCCAGACCCCAGCATCGGGCTGCTCATCACGCCATCCGCGCTTCGCCCCGGCCCGACATCCTCGCCAAACTCGTCAAAGCTGTTGCCTTGGTGGTCGCCGTGGCCACTGGCAGAGCTAGGGGTGCTGCTCAAGGCTTTCTTGCCGCTGAACAGACCGTTTTCTTTTCCGCGCAAGGAGATAGTGAATTTGCTGGCGCTGCCTTTGCGTAGTAATGACCGCATGATAGTCTCCTTCTCTTTGGTACTGGCGCCCGATGGAGTGTTCATGTCAGATGTGCCGTTGCTTACGGTCAGGTCCAAATCCTCGTGGGACTCGGCCATGCTGTTCTGCGTATGGATGGAGTGGGTATCGCGAGACTTTCTCGAGGCAGAAGGTGAGGATACATTATTCGAATCAATAAGAAAGTTGTCAGGAGATTGAAGGGGGTCAAGAGCCGGGATCTTATTCTTCCCTTTGTCCTTGTCGGACCTGGAGGTGCGGCCAAAGTCAAAGCTAAAACCTTTGAAAACTGGAGCTGCAGGGTTCAGCTTTGGGGTAGTTGATATATGGGACGAAACAGAACGAGTGCCAATCACGCCCACAGGTGATGGACTAGCTTGGCCAGCTAAGGAGTCTGAAGAGGGCAGAAATTCATCATCGTCACTAGCTATGCCGGTGTTCAGTGCAGACGAAGAACCGTGTTGGAAGCTTGGTCGTCGGGAAGCGATTGAAGGCCATGTCTGAGTGGCGTGTACCGACCAATTTGTGGCTAAAGGGCTGGTTCTATTGGGGAGGAGACTGTCCGGTGCAGGACCCCAGCCAAACGGCGCGCTGTCCGTAGAAGGCCGAGGGAGATCCGAAGAGGCGATTGAAGTTGGACGAGGGCTACCGGGATCCCTTTCAGAGCGGACGCTGGGCTCATCCATGCTCGAACTAAAGACATTGAATCCACGACGCGTCCTTGCACTTGGATTACGAGCAGGCACGGGTGCATTTCCTTGCGCAGAGGAGTCCGAGGCAGGTGCACCCTTGAAAAAGCTTGGCCAGCCCGTCGAGAAGCTGATTCGACGTTGCTTGGTTGCCATTGATTCTGGTTCCTCGGTAGATCGTGGGACAGACTGGCTTTGGCCCTGTTTCAAAGATCCGAGAGCTGGGCTATCTCCCACCGTCTTCCCTCTGGTTCTGAACAAGTCTTTGAGGCTCTTGTGAGCTGCAGGCTCAGGAATGATAGCAAAGCCAGCCTGTGCTGTGCTCATCGACCGCATGTCGTCGCCTGAAGGGTAACCATTTATAGGTACACCGTATTGTGGAAGGTTCTGCGAGGAGTTCAGAGGGCTGGCAAACAAGCTTGGAGATGGGCTGGAAGAATGTGGTGATTGAGGATCTGTATCGAGACTTGCACCAATGTTGCGAAATAATGGGTCGTCGTCATCAGCATCATCGTTAATCAAGTTCGACGGAAGAAATGAATGGGCACCAGGACTCAGAGGGGCATCAGCAGTGAGCATCCGCCTTTCTTCTTCGCTCATTCCACTCATATGGTCTGCCTCGATGACCAGACCAGTGTCGTTGTGCGTCAAGAAGAATGGCCCAGGAGCGTAGTTGGGCGAGGCGGCGGTCGCGAGGTGTTTATAAGTATGCATGATAGGGAATGCCGTGTTCAGCAAAGGGTATACAGCGACAGAAGAAGAGAGGGTGCTTGTCCGACCTCCGTGAGTCTGGGTCCTGCGAGCTATGGCTTTGCCAGCACTATTCGGCTCGAAATTGACGCCCATTGAGTTGACTTGAAGCATCTCAAAAGATGTTCTAAGGTTAGCGAGAACCGCTTGTTGTTGAGAAGTCATTATTTCAATCTCTCTCAGCTGCTGAGATTTGCTGTTCAAGACCGCCACCAGCTGTCTTTCCCTTGCCTGCCACTCCATTTCTTCTCGCTTGTCAGCGGCTTCTTGCGACAGTGAGTGTTCGTCGTCTTCCGAGCCCGGTAGTGTCCTGCGCTCGGCTTCAAGTTCAACAATTTGGAGTCCCCGGGATTGGATGTGCTTCTCTACAGCGTCGAGGACCAGTTGCTGCTCTGCAATCTTTTCCTTGATGTCGGCAACCTTGGCCTCTTTCTTTTTCCCAAGCTCCCTCTTCGCGTCTTTCCAGGATTCCTTTTCTTTTTTCATATTTTCAATCTCCTGCTTCCATCGCGCCATATCACCAAGCATCTTCTCCATCTTGGTCTTTTCGTCCCTCAACTTCTTCTCATGCTGGGCCTTTCTATTCTGGGCCACCCTGTTCAGCCGGTCACTATTGTCGACTTCCGCTTTTAGGGCTTTACTCGCTCTATCTCGTTCTTGCAATGCTTGCTTCTTTGAATCCCTCTCTCTCTCCAACTCGGCATATTTCTCATCGAATTCCTCCCGCTCGTGGGCAATCATTAACACAGTCAGGTCTGTCTCCTTGCGGATAGTCTCAAATTTCTCGGTCAACTGCTGCATACTCTCTATGGGCTGGTTCGCAGTCGCAAGATCTCGCGCCGCCTGTTCCGCCCCTGCAGCAGTTGACGGAGAGTTTTTCCTGCCTCCAGTATTTCTCCTTTGCCCAGCTTGGCTTCCACCTCCTGCATGCCCACCACTGTGCTCCCGCGTTATCACCGGCGCGGACTCCGGCAGGCTGGCGGCCTGAATCTCGACGACCGGGCCTCGACTGGGTTGCGAGTCATCATTACTGTCACTATCGTCGTCGTCGCCATCCTGGCTTGACGGCGGTGGCGCGTTTCCCTGGTACGGCTGTCCCCCTTTTGTGAGGGTACTGATTCGCAAGACCCTGCTCCCCGACTGGAAGTTGTTCATCCCGCAGGCGATAACTCGGATATTGTAGAAGTGACCAGGCTTGAGCCCGGTCACCTCAATCGCGGGTAGATCGTTCTTGGATGACTCGCCAACTGCATCATCTTGTCAGACCGTGTGCCCTGCCCATGCCCGCCTGCACGACTTACTGTTGACTCCGTTAACCTGGATCAAGTACTTCGCTACCTGCGATCCAGGCCTCGGTTTCGTCCATTGTAGCGTACACGCATTCGACTTGAGGCCGGCGAGCGTGACTTCGGGAGCTTCTGGAACATCGACGCCGAGCGTTTCGATCAGGCGAGCTGCGGGTGTCCGCAGAGTCTTGTAGGCGCGGAAGATCAGCCTACGCAGCGTTAGAAAAGGCGCCCTATCCGCCGACCAGTGTGTGTAGTGAAGAAGTGCGCGCCACGGACCAGAGAAAGGCAGAGGCCGTCGCGGAGGACTGAACGATCAACATGATCCAATATTCATGGCCAAAAAGCCAATCGATCAGACCAGAGTAGAAGGTGGTCGCATTCATCCAGGGTTGGCGGGGGTATTGGGACTGGTACTGATACTGATACTGGGCTACGATCTCGAGAAAGAGATGATATGCAGGCGGCTCGAGGGTCCAGAAGATGGCCAGCACCGAGATGAAAAGGGTGACGAGGATACCGATGGGGTAGAGGACGAGCTCATAGGGGTCAAGCGTGGTGGTGGTGAAGGTGGTGGAGGTAGAATAGAACTCGGGATCTAAATTGGATGATTCCATCGTCTCCTCCTCCCGTGGTGGAAGTTCTCGCGAGGTCCTGGCATTTTGATCCTGAGGCCGATTAGGCATTTCTGCATAGCCGCCAAGGGACTCTTGGTCCAGGTCCAGGTCCAGGTTCAGGCTCGGGTTCGGGTTCGGGTCCGGGTCCGGGTCCGGGTTCGGGTCCATGTTGCAGACGGATCGGATGCAGAATGGTGGCAAGTCATCGATCGAATGCAAAGGACGTTGTTGTTGTCATTGTTGTTGTTTTTGTTGTTGTTGCTGCTGTGGCTCATGCGCGCGGCTATCTGAACAGTAAGGAAGTACCCGGGCAAGCGCGAGTCCGGTCTTGATTAACGTCGATACGGAAGGGATTAGGGGTTCCTGCGTAGTGGCATTGCATCGAGATCATGAATCCTTAGTAGAAAGTAGTACATGAGTAAGTAGCTCACTAGGTACTGACGACTGACTAGCTACTAACGATCTATCTGTAGTTCCCGGCGCTGCATCATTTGAGATTGGGAAAGCTATTCGATCCTCGATAGGTACCGGTATCCTGCAGCTTCCATCGACGTACATACTACGTATCTGGTCAGAATCCCATCATTTCGAAAGGAAATGAAGAAATACCTATATATACATACATACATATATATCTATATACATATATACACATATACGTAGATACGTAGATACGTATATACGTATATACTGCTTCCTCCCTGACCTCGGCAAAGTACTTAAATGTGACTTGTGACTGGCGATCGCAGGGACCCCCGTTTAATCCGTCACAATAGCACGGGCTGCCGACCGTCAGCTGCGTCAGGAAGCTCTTCTACCGGTACATCCACATCCCACATCCCACATCCCACATCCCATATCCCAGATCCCATATCCACATCTCCATCCCCATCCCCCCGAATACGAGTCGAGGCAAGTCAACCCGCGACGAGAGGAGAGATTCACGGACAAGCCAGATCAGATGTATCTCGACATTCCTTTCCAGCTTCCATACCCTCCGTACCAGGCATCAGCTCCCATATAATCGAAGATCCTCAAACAACCGCTTCAAAGATCCTCCCCTCCCCTCCCGTACCAACCACGGCAAGCTTACGCATAATCCAAAGAAAAAAAAGAAAAAAAAAAGAAGAAAAAGAAGAAACCTCCTGCCCTTCACCGTCGCCCTTCTTCGTCTAGAGACCTACACCCTGACCCATCCGCCATCCACCAACCCACCTTCAGTCCTGGCCCCGAATACTATCCGACTCCTGAGAATACCCTCTCCGACTCCCGCTTGACCTGCAATGCAGTACGTCCGAAGCATCAGTGGTTCCGTCTCGAAAACATGGAACTCGATCAACCCCGCAACCCTTAGCGGCGCCATCGACGTGATCGTGGTGGAACAGGAGGATGGCACACTGGCATGCTCGCCCTTCCACGTCCGCTTCGGCAAGTTCTCGCTGCTGAGGCCCTACGAGAAGAAGGTCGAGTTCCAGGTGCATGGCGTCAAGCAGGATTATGCCATGAAGCTGGGCGAGGGGGGAGAAGCCTTCTTCGTCTTCGAGACCAGCGATACTATCCCAGAGGCGATGCAGACCTCGCCGCTGGTCTCCCCGGCTTCGAGCCCGCCCTTGCCTCCGGATAGCACGAGTGTTTCGCATCTGAGCGAGCCGGATTTCCTGGACCTAGACACTACGACTGGGAAGCAAAGATCCGCGAGTGTGACGAGACCCGGCGTCGCTGTCCTTTCAAGCTCTGTATCCAGGAGAACAAGCAATCTGAGTAAGGCTCTTCATGTTCGTACTAAGCTATGCTGACTTCTGGTTGAAGATGCCTCAACCCCTCATTCTGACTCTCCGGACTTTTCTCATGGCCGGCCCCTCTCAGGAGACTGGGCTGGAGTTATGAGTGGTCGCTCAAATACGGATGAAGTCCTCCCATCCTCTGCACGGAAAAATGGCGAGGACGCAGCAGAACGAGAACGGCAGACGCGGTCCCTTACGCCAGGTCTCCTCGACGGGACTGACCGATCCTACAGCCCCCCACCTCTCCCTACCAAAGAAGCGATCCAGCGCGCTGTTGCACTGTCAGAGAGGCTCTCAGCATCCAACATTCCCAGCCAGGTTACAGATACGGGAGATCTGATGCTGGACATGACGGGGTACAAGAGTTCCGATGACGATGCGCTCCGGGCAGAAGTGATTGCGAGGAAGATATTGTCTGAAGAATTAGAAGGAAACTATGATATTGGGGCTTTGATAGGAGCTGATGAGCACGGCAACCTATGGATTTATAGCAGTGAGGAAGCCAAGGAGGCAGCAAGTCAACGAGCCGCAATGGCAGGCATTCCGAACGATGCCGTATCCGACCCCGGATATCACAGCGATGCAGAAAGCGAGAGGGCCATGCCCGCCATTTCATCTCGTCACCGAACTGGATCAGATCTGGGCTTCCAAACCCCTCCGAAGACCCCTCCTGGAGCTGCCGGTGATCCCAACCGAAATTATGCCAAGACACTGCGGCTGACCAGCGACCAACTCAAAACCCTCAACCTCAAGCCCGGGCCGAATCCGATGAGCTTCACTGTCAACCGAGCAACTTGCCAAGCGTACATGTACCTCTGGCGCCACGATGTCCCTATTGTGATCTCTGACATCGACGGGACAATCACAAAATCGGATGCCCTCGGCCACGTGCTGAACTATGTCGGTCGTGATTGGACACACATCGGAGTCGCGAAGCTCTACACCGACATTGTCAATAATGGGTACAACATCATGTACCTGACATCACGCTCTGTTGGTCTAGCCGACACGACAAGAGCTTACCTCAACGGTGTGGCCCAAGAGGGTTATCGACTGCCGAGAGGACCAACACTAATGAGCCCGGATCGGACCGTTGCTGCACTGAGAAGAGAATTGTACATTCGAAAGCCGGAAGTCTTCAAGATGGCTTGTCTACGAGATATCAAGAATCTGTTTGGTCCGGACCGCACGCCGTTCTGTGCTGGATTCGGAAACAGGCTTACGGATGCGCTGTCGTATCGATCGGTCAGCATCCCCAGCAACCGTATTTTCACCATCAACAGCTATGCCGAGGTGTCACTGGATCTAGTAAACTTGAATAAGCTAAGATACAGCTACATCAACATGCGCGAGGTCGTCGACCACTACTTCCCACCTGTGAGCACGCTCGTCAAAGGTGGCGGCGAGGAGTATACCGATTTTACCTACTGGCGCGAACCGGTCCTCGACATTGATGAATTCAGCGACTCGGAAAGCGACGAGAAAGACGGCAACAATGCCGATAATATCTCCGAAGAAGAGGAAGAAGAAGACGACGATGAAGAGGAGGGCAATGATGATTTGGGGGACTCGTACATGTCGCGAGACTCCTTTGACGATGATCATGACGAGAATGGTCTTGACGAGAGCATTTTGTCTGGCTCAGGAGATGAGGACGATGCAATGACAAATAGCGCACTGGAAGCAGCTGATGGTGTCGGTTTTGAGGATGATACCGGAGACGCCAAGACGGCGGCACAGAATTCTAGCGCCTTACCTTCGGTATCCGAGTCCCCAGCTGAGCTCCGACGTGAAGTCTCGCAGCGAGATGTCGACGCCGAGGTGATCACGGGAGTCAAAGGCCTCGGCCTCGAGCGGGAGGAGTCGGATGACAAGAAAGTGTGAGGGTGAGGTAGGGCGAGGAGGAGGATTGGAAACAAAAGGAATATAAAAAGTAGGCGGATTAGCAGGGGAGTTTTTTGGGAACCCGTTTGCGGGAAGGGGGCATATACCAGCGAATGGAGTCTTCTTTTTCAGTCTCTTTTGCCTTTTTTTTCTTTTTGGTAAGGGTAAGTCGTTCGTCGCTTGAGAAACTTGAGAAAGAGGGAGGGAGGTCGATGTTTATATATATATACAGTCGGTACGTACTTGAAGTTAGAATCTCTGGTTGGCTCGACTGAGGGGCATAACATGGCATAGTATAGCATTATAGAATAGCAAGCGGGGGGG